TCGTCATGAGTTTTTCATTTATGTTCTAAGTTATAATTAGTACCTATTATTAAGTCAGTGTTAATTATATTTATTGCTATTGTTTTTGTCTTTCTCAAAAAATAATTAAATTACCAAATAAATTATGAGGTGTTTTTTATATACATCAAATGTCTGATAGAAATGCAAGTACATATTTTGCTAAACTTTAAAATCAAAACCCAATTTTAAAACATAGACTAATCGATTATAACTCCTTTAACTTTAAAATAAGTTAAGTTCTTATTAATGGTATTTATTCCAGTTTATGAAGCATGTAAAGAATAAATAAAGCTAATTGTATAATATCGTATATCTATTTACAGCCCCATTAATAACCACTATTATTTTATAATTCTTTTATAAAAACGTTAACCCAACACTAGGATTTTCTCTCGTATCGCGCAGGCAGTTTACAAACATAAATTGCACAGGGACACACATCCAGACCCGAAACAATTATTTGTAGGACATACAAATACTTGTTCCGTGCGGGATCAAACCCGCGGCGCACGACGCAGCCACTCATTGCTGAGCCACTGCGCCACGGTGCTTATAAATTCGTCCGCACATTGGCCCGAACCGAAGTAAACTGAACGACCTTCCAACGTGTGGACGCTGTCACCAACTCTCGGCCGTTATGTTCGCCACTCCATTCGCCACTGTGTTGGCCAACGTGTAGAGGCGACATAAACTGAACGACCTTCCAACGTGTGGATGCCGTCACCAACTCTCGGCCAATATATTCGCCACTACATTCGCCACTGTGTTGGCCAACGTAGAGGCGACATAAGTTTTATCAAAATACACTCTGACCTAATATTGTGTTTTTGTATAATAAACAATAGTTTGGTAATAGGTACTTACATTGATGTTTTAACATTCCAATAACACAGCTCATTAGCGAGTTCTCTTAATCAGTGACACGGAACAATAACCTTCCCTTAAGTAGGAACAGTGACGTCACGACAGAGGCTAATAAGGCCGGCAGTGTTTTGCAGATTTTAAGTATAGACAAAAAATTCTTAAAATTGAAACATAAAATTTATAATGCAATTTTATAAATTTTGACTTTTATAGATTTGAATTTGAATTTTATAGATTTTGAAAATTGACGACTCCGTGGAGTAGTGGCTTAGCAATGAGTGGCTGCGCTGGGGGTCGTGGGTTCGAATCCCGCACGGAACAAGTATTTGAATGGCCTACTAATAATTGTTCCGGGTCTGGATGTTTGTCCTTGTGCAATTTATGATTATAAACTGCCCCCATGATACAGGAGAAAATCCTAGTGTAGGGGTAACGTTTTTTTTAAAAAAAATGGAAATCAATATTTCTCGTTTACCTTTCACAAAATATATCATAAATATATATTTTTTAATTTTTTTACATAGTGTAAAATACCCTATTCTGTTGCCACACCCGCCCTTGCATTACTACATTATAATAATAATCATCATCATCATTACAGCCCTTCACAAGTCCACTGCTGAATATAGGCCTCCCCGAAGGAATGCCACAAAGCACGGTCCTGAGCCATCTGCATCCATCGACTTCCTGCATGTCTTACCAGGTCGTCACTCCATCTGGTAGGGGGTCACTCTACACTTCGCTACGAGGCTGCCACTCGAGAACCTTTTTTCCCAACGGTGGTCGGTTTTTCGAGCTATATAGCCGGCCCATTGCCACTTCAGCTTACTAATCCGTTGGGCTATTTCAGTCACACTGGTTCGACTGCGGATATCCTCATTTCTAAGTTTATCACGCAGAGAAACCCCGAGCATATCTCTCTCCATAGCTCGCTGAGCGACTTTGCGCGTCCTCATATGGCCAGCAGTGAAAGACCACGTCTCAGTTCCATAGGTCATCACTGGCAACACGCACTCGTTGTATAGTCTCGTTTTCAGGTTTTGAGGTATAGCAGACGAGAAGATGTGTCGTAGTTTCCCTAACGCTGCCCAGCCGAGTTGAATCCGTCGATTGACCTCTGGGTCGAAATTGGACTTATCTAGTCGGACTATTTGTCACAGGTAAACGTACTCGTCAACAACTTCGAGCTTAGCGCTCGCAACAACTACCGACATGGGTGTGACATGGACATTAAACATGACCTTTGTTTTGTCTATGTTCATCTTAGGACCTATCCGTTGGCAGACACTATTGAGGTCATTGTGCATAGTGCTTAGGTCTGCCAGCGATTCTGCCACAAGGACTATATCGTCGGCAAATCGAAGGTGAGTGATGTACTCGTCATTGATGTTAATACCGTATTCTTTCCAGTCCAGTAGCTTAAAAACGTTTTCCAATGAAGAGTTTCGGGGATATTACGTCATCCTGTCTTACACCTCTCTGCAGTTGGATAAGTTTCGTACTCTGGTTCTGTACTCGGATATCCATTGTAGCCCTACTGTACAAACACTTCAGCACTTCGATATACCGACAGTCCACTCAGCACCGCAGAAGGGACTGTAGCATCGCCCAAATTTCGACGGAATCAAAGGATTTCTCATAGTCCACATATGCCAGGCAAAGTGGCAGATTGTACTTTTCGGACTTTTGTACAATTTGCCGGAGGATATGTATGTGGTCTATGGTGCTTAAAGCCTTTTCGGAGGCTGGAAGTCGTCGAGTCTGCGTGCGAGACGATTCGTAATGACTCTCAAAAACAGTACGTAGACGCGGCTCAGAAGGGATATCGGTCTGTAGTTCTTCAAGAGAGCGTTGTCACCTTTCTTGAAGAATAAGCCCACCGCACTTCTGCTCCGCGCCTCGCGAGTAGTGCCACCATAGAGGACGGAATCAAAGAGCTTCTGAAGGACTTCAAGTACCGGTTTTCCAACCACTTACAGAAGCTCCGCTGTAATTCCATCCTCGCCCGGCGACTTGCCGTTTTTAAGATGTTGGAGAGCCATTCTAATCTCGCTCAGACTGATGTCCAGGACATCATCGGAATAGTGTCGGATAAGCCTCGCTCTTGGATCGCTACTCACACTTGCCTGTGGCTCTTACGATGACGTGTACAGCTGCCCATAGAACCTCTCAATCTCAAGTTCCCGGAAACGATGCTGCGACACTCGGTCTTCAGCTTTGATAGTTGGTTCTTTCTGACTGACAGATCCCTGGCAAATACTTTGGAGCCTTGGTTCCAAATTATAACGTTTCAGATTTTTCTCTTCCTCAAAATACTTTATTATATTATACACAATTTTACGTGTGGGCCAATGCAGTACAATCCCGCATTTATCCTCCATTGTTAACAGAATGTAGATAAAATACTAAGAGAAAAATACCAAATTTTTGCCATAATGATTACTGATAACAAACATAAAGATAGAAAAGTTGATATTGACATATTTTCAGACAATCTTTGGAAATTTAAACGTGATTTATTACATTTATATTCCTCAAATAATTGTAATTCACAGTAAAATTATATTATTTTTCTTTAAGCTAAATTGTGATTAGGAAACAATTGTATATTATAATTCATTAATGATTTTATTTTTGTTATGTTAAACGTTCATAAAATCTCTAATGTTAATAACAATAGTGGAATATGCATGATTTAATTTAATTAATTATATAACACTAAATTCTGATATATTTATTGATCTCTTAATTTTTGTATTCAATTTAATTCACTGCATATGTTTACTTGTGTCTATTTTTTGTAATGAAATGTGTGTAACACCTATAATTAAGTCTACACTTAGTTTTTATGATTTTTTGCAAAAATATTATGCTTTTGTTAGTGTATGTCTTGTTGGTGTTAAATAAATAATAAAAAATGACGAAATAGTAAACAAAAACAAAATAACTGACGGGGCTTTACAATAAATAATAATCAAAAACACTAACAGCGACTTTAAAAATGTATTAACAAAATCAACAATAGTTATGTAAAAAAACTCTTAGAACGCGTCTAGCTCACAAATTTGCGAAACGGGAAAAAAGTTTTTATTAGTTTATAGTATTCGGTTACCATTTGTGCCAATGATAAGTCGTACTGAAGTTTTAGCACGTACGAAAAACGCATATCGCAACATATTTTTTGTAGTCTCTATCGGTGGGTGTGAGTATAGATAGTGACAGTGTGCAAGCGAGAGATAAAAAAAAATAAAAAAATAGGTGACGCTATTTTCAGTCAAATTCTTTAACCGTACGCGTAGTACCTATGTTACGCCAGGGTTGGATTCACATCCTCAAAAATATTGTGTATTATACATGGAAAATAAAATTATACTCGTACTATTTGTCCAAAATTGTATCACGTTTGACGTTTCATATTTTTCCCAGGCGCTGGTTTTGGCATCACGCGTCTATACGTTTCGTTTTTCGGCGTTTTTGTTTTGAACTGAAATAACATTACGATGTCATGTTCATAGCAAATTCAAAAATATTGCTATGATCATGATATCGTCTCTCCCGCAGTCATTCGTAAAAAACATAAATCCGCCTGTGTCAGAACGACCAGTATAGTAAAATATCACATGAGAAAAATCCCCGCCTACCCTGTCGTTGCCTGATTTGTTATTGCCGTACGTAAAAAAAATCGATATTGTAGGTAAAATAAAAAGTAAAAGGACCCACCAGCAATACAAGTCGGTTGATCTGAAGTAAAATTAGTATTTTGGCATAGCGTAGTATCATTACGATACTGCATACTACTACACACTACGAAATAATGGTACAAATAGTAAAATAACAATGTTTTCGCCGGCATTACAATCTGAAGGATATAGACAACCAATTTAATTGCAAAAGGCGCTCTTTTTCAGACACAATGCAAGAAAACAGCGTTGTAACTGCACATCTTGGTTTGGAGTTGGTACTTGCTATTAAGTGTAATGCAAGCTGGTTTGTCTAATTAACATGTACAAGTAATACATGTCAAAAGCCTTGAGAAATTCTTTTTTTTAGTTTTAAGGAAATACACAGAAAGACGTGAATATAAGGATATTGTAACGGATAAAAATTATTCCGACCTCAAGCTCGAGCTGGCCCTTGATCATGATGATGCTGATGTTGATCTCGGCATGCAGAGGCGGTAGCGAAGCGTTGCGCGGTGGCAGCTGCCCGGGGCCTAGCGGTACTTCGTCGTCAGCGTCGCCCAGCGCCCCCGCCGCCCCCGCCGCCAGGGGCACCGCCGCCCACATGCTGCCCTTGCGCCCCGTCGCCGTGCCTGCGCGCCACAATACGCCCGTACTGCCCACTCCGCTCACACCACCATCCTTTCTATCGCTCCAAGCTACTGCCTCTCAACCAACCACACAATCTACTCGACATAGTAGAGCTTCACTTTTGCAATCGTGTTCAAAACATATAACTCAACGAAACAATACAAAAAAATTAATATAAACCATTCAGTCGTACATTGAAAAATAAATAACATAAAATAAGCACGTCAAACAGCTTCGTGCCAATGTATAGATTATCGTTTACATAGAATTCGAATCGACTCCTTTCCTAAACACATACATGGAAGAATAAGCGTTTCATCGTGAGCAGCCAAAAGTATAGTCGATTTTCTAATAGTTGCCTGAAGCGGTCTTTAACTCAGTCTATGGATAAGCATTCCGTGTTATGCACAGCCATAAGAATAGGGTAGTCGCGGTCTTTGTGAAGAGAGCTAATGTACAAGGCGCGCGCCGGCCGGCGGCGCGGCCCAGCTACGTCATGCGCGACCGCGACCTGCTGCGGTGACGCCTACGTCGACCGCCTAAGCAGTCATTCCCTAGCCTAGAAAATTACTCAAAATCAAACGATCGAAATAACTTTGAATCTTCAACTAAATCCTAAGGATATGTTAATATTATGTACAGGATAAATAATAAAAGGCGCGTCGTAACAATGAATGACATTCGCAAAATTAATGAGTTCCGGTGTCCTAGGCGAGACAATGCCATTGATATGAACGGAGACGGGCAGCTGAACAGTTGGTACATAGAAACAGATGAAGTGAGCGTGATCGCCCGCGGCCGGGCATGCGTCGGGACAGAACAGAACAGACACAGTGAAGTGATGAAAAGCGTCGGGCGCAGCCACATTCAACGGTGCGTGCGCGCGGCCGTCGCGCAAGCGATGTATGACCCATGCTACTACTGGCCCCAGAATCCTATCCTGCTCTCGACCGGGACCGACAGCGTCAAGTGTCCCAACTCGAAGATACATTAAAACATGTTCGAGGTGGAATGCTTGGCTCAGATCGGGAAAGGCGAAGTAACAGAAATGGGACTCGGGGCTGTCGGCCGTCGGACGTCACAAGGGATCGTGTACACCGACACCGCGCACAAACAAACCCTGAGCGGGCACGCGCGGGCGCGGGCGCAGGATCGGGCTTCGCTTACCGAGGTGCTAACGGCCCGTCGCTGCTGGCCAAACAAGCACAACACAGTACATGTCAGTACCCTCAAGTTTAATGTTTTTTGTTTGTTGCAGCCGTAGGTAAATAAATCTACTTGAGAATAAAGATTACATATTATTTATTATATTTAGATATATTGTATATGAATCAGTTTTGTCATTTGCAAGAGTAACCTAAACAAGGTTAATGGATCATTTATGTGAGATGTGCTGAAATCTTACAAAAGATCAAAACTTCAATAATTAATAAGAATCTAAAAATATTTAACATTAAAATTATTTGAATTTGTAATAATTGTTTTAATACTTAAACATGATAATATTATCATTGATATTTTGTACATATAAAATAAACCAATTAATTAATATTTTTGGTATTACTAATTTGTGTATTTAATGTAGACCCATTAGTTTAAAAATAACGTCAAAACGTATATACATATATACAAATAAAATTACTTAAGTCTATTTAAATGGGCGCGAGACGGATATTATACTTATTAATAAACACGATGCTGTACATTTGAATTTTACGATTATAAGTTGTAAAGAACACCAAAGAATATCATAGATGATTTTTTCCCACCAGATGTACAACTATCCATGGTATTGAAGCATGAATAGGAGAGCGATTCAAATATAAACTATTGTGTCTACACAATTATAGTTGCCGGCACGAGTCGTGAGCACAGATGAACTGTGGTGGGGGTTAAGCCAGCGTAGGTACACTGTCGGCCAAAATTATTTGGTACGTTTATTAATATTATTTATTAATATTTTCACAGATTTTTTCGAAATTCTGAGTCGTTAACTCCTTTAACTATACACCGTACAGTAGCTACTGAGACATTAGTCGGCTCAGCAGTGTGTTTATAAACGTCTATCATGTTTTTCGCAATACCTAATTTTTTCATGTAAAAAAACACTGAATACAGCATTTGTCACAATTGTCAATTTAACACCGAATTCTTTCTTCTCTGCATATTTAGACCAAATTCTGAATACTCAAATTATAACAACAAAAATAATTAACAACAAGAAAAAACAAAAACAAATAAAAACAAGGAATACAACGAGGTAAAAAAAACATTAACAAATATAATTTTATTAAAAAGTTGTCACTAAAATTGCTCTCAAGTGTACGGTAGTAATGATACGTTACGTTGAGCGTCAGCGTGGTGAACGTCATATCGTCCAATGAAAAGTGTGCTCACGATTCGCGCCGGGAATTATACATACATATACATTACTTTATAGTACCTAGTTGAAAAAAAAAACACAAGGTTTAAACACAATATTTGAAGTGAAGCTTAATAGAGGGTAGCTGGACAGCAACAACAGCAGGGGACACCTAGGTTCTGATGGGATGGGATGATAAAAGAGTAGAGTTGGTGGAGGGGGAGGGTGGGAAGAAAGGGTTTAAGCGTGTATGAGACTTACGCTTAGCCGTAGACCCTGAAAGCGAAAGCGTGCGGCCGAGTTCGCCCTTGACGGCGCGCAGCGAGCGCAGGATATCGTCGGGGTCGCGGCGTACGCACGACGAACGTCGCCGCTCGTTGCGTCGCGACCCACTTACGACACTCTCGGCACCGTCTGCATGTAGCCCGGGAGTCGTGTCAGTGTGTGTTTAGTGCACATTCGGGGTACTTTTTTTATAGGATAGGGTGACAAACGAGCACACACTCCTCCTGATGGTAAGTGGTTGCTGTGGCCCATAGACATCTACATCCATCCTCGATTACGAATCAAAATGCAGATGCGTTGTCATCCGTAAGGACTAAAGTGGAATGCCTCGTTTCCAGTAAAAAGGGTCTCCGATTCTCTACACTAACCATACGAAACAGCAGCATTAAGCTACTATTTCACGCTGGTATTCTGTGAGAGCGTGGTACTTCCCCGGTCGAGCCGACCCATTCGTGCTGCAACTATACCACTAATATAACTGCAGCATGGCTCTACTACATATAAAATAGTGTACTTGTCAGAGATCTCTAGAAATTGTGCAAGTGTGTCTTTGGAAGACGTGTATTTAATATAGATATGTCGCAGCAAGATGATTAAAGCGGGAATATAATTATATCCGTAGGCATATAACTATATACCGTAATATAGTTATATGACAGCGGTTCATAACTGAATTGCTAGGAAGATAGCTATTATACGAGCAGGATTTAGTAATATAACTATCTTACTAGACTAATCTAGTGTAACAACTGTAAATGTAAACTGAATGTATAGGAGCACATTTTTGTTAGTCGTGGTGATGAAATGTTCATGTTATTTGTGGAGTATCGTCATGTGGTGAAGGTTACGGATCGCAGCTGTTGTGCAATGTACGTGAGGGTAACATGATCATCCGGTCAATATGGTCACTTTCTTATAACTCAAAAACTACAGCTTGTTTGAATAGATGGCTTTGTGATCCAATAGCTCTTCATCGGTCAATCAAATAATATTGGTCAAAAGGGCGCTGCGTTATCGATACCATTTTAATAGTTGACATTATAGTAAATATTATAGACGATTTTAGTATGGTGTAGTGCAGTTAGTTTGTTTTAAATAGATTTTTCGAAGTGTTCTTATTTATTGCCAAAGCTTGTTTGCGATTTTTTCTTAATATATTAGTTCTAGTATAGGATTTTGAGTTTATGTTTCTTTCCTTCTCCTAGTACCCTCACAACAACGAAAAAAACATTTACGACCAAAGAGACCACAGAAATCTAAATAATAAGGCAATAAAAGTCGTAAAAGAGCGTGGCATTGTCGCCGCACATGTGACTCGTAGGCCACAAGCGCGCAAGGAGCGTTTGTTTCGGTCACCAGTGTTGTTTCGGACGCAGAGACGTAAAAATGGAGTTTTGAAGCATATCCAACTGCGTAAATTCTTCCACAACTTGCAAGTTTTCAAATAAAGGGATAACATTTCATAAATAAGTACTTAGTGTTTTAAATAATGTTGTTTTAATGAAATATTAAAACAACATTATTTAAAGAGAATTATTTACCTCCAGTACTACGATTGTCTTCGAAAATGTAATTATTTTCACATTTCAGTATCCACTGATTCTTAAGCTAGTTCATGTCTACGAGTACGACAGCTAAAAGCAGCGATGGATTTATAGTATGAGCAAGAAACAACATTGTTGCGTACCTAAATTTCCAAGAACACGTCCGCGGGATTCGAGCGCGAGACAGTGGCGTGACACTACTACTTTGCATCGATAATTTATTATGTTTGGCTTATCTAGTTTTACAGAAATGGGAATGAAATGTGAGTTTTCGTTAAACATTTATTTTACACCTCCTCTATTTTTTTTTCTTTCTAAATATTTCATACCGTTAACCTTATATCAGCGAATATCTGTTTGGTAGTACTTATAAATTACTTGATAAACTTTGATGCAATTTTAATATATTGCAAGGATAAGTAATTATATTGTAGACTAAATTCGATCTGTAAGAAGCCGGGAACTACCAAACAACAGAAAGTCAGTTACAGATCTTTAAAACTAATTCACAATATATATATATATATATATATATATATATATATATATATATATATATATATATATATATATATATTTGTTTGCTGTTTGTATAATGTTGTATTCGTTTTATTTATACATCTGTTTATTTAATACAACGCTATTATTCCAGATTTATAAGAGATCTGGATATTAAAGATAAATGGATATGCTTATCCTTAACGTTTTATTATATCCTCTTTTCTCTAGTTATAAAAACGTCTATTACTAAAAGCGTCTATTACTGAGACTGCACTATGCCCAAGTGAAAGTGAGCGCGCAATGTCATTCTCTGTTTTTCGCACACGTTAATTATTGGACCAAGTGGCTACGCCTCCTGAGATTTTGCGTTTTTATAAAATATTCCTTAACGCAATAATGTATAGTTTAATATCTGTTGTATGAATGCTAGAGATATGTGTAGGCGTTATTGTGTATTTATTTTTTGTCTATGTGTGTTAGCTGCGAACCGGCGATACGCGTCCCGATATTAAAAGACAGTAGAAGGCATTTCTAGTATTATTATTTTGAGTTCCTGTTGTATCGTTGTTCATGTCACATTTGACAATAGGTTCAGGTGTGGCTGGGTTGGCCCTTAGACCATCTTAAAGCCGCGTACATTGTAATGATATAAAATTTAATATTGAAATAATTAAAATTATTAATTTAAAAAATTCGAAAAGAAGAAGTCTAAATTAGTTAAAAGTGGTTTTGACCAAAGTTTATCAAAACTATTTTTAACTGATTTTGGTTATGACCGGTTATGAGTTTTGACTGTAACATATAGGTATTTATGATTATTTCCCTTACTTAGTTTATTAAGATAGTTACTTTACAAGATCGTGCTCGTATCATAGTTATATTCCTAGTAAGATAGTTATGAACCACTTTCAAACAACTATATCACGGTATATGGTTATATTCCTAGGGATATCACGGTTTCAACCATCTTACTGCAACAGATACATATAGACAAATTCTAGTGGATATTTGCGACACTTGTGTATATGTGATCTGGGATAAGCTTTAACAGAGTTCGGGACACATGGCTGTGCGTTTTACGACATGTGTGATTACGTTATCGAGAAATGAATCAATGGCATTGCGGTATACGTGCACGAACTGGTCAGGGTCTCGGGTGAAAGTGCTGCGGGGAGATTTGTGACTTTCTTCGACACGTGTCAACGTTTGGAGCGACAGTAGCCTAATTGACAAGGATTACGATCTGTGTACTGTATGTAAACCGTCTAAAGAGTCATCACTACTGGTGTATAAATATAACCTGCATTGTGTCCGATGAACCTGTAAAATCAGAATCCAGAAACCAGATACCAGACAGTTTAATTATAACTATCGAGTAGACAACATCTCTCTCATCGATAATACGTGCATAGAGCAAGATGTGTATAGAGTAATTTGTATAAAACAGTGTATTGTACAGTCTGCAAAACTTAATGCCGTGAGTTCAAATCCATCCATCAATCGATGATTGACTTCTAACCCCAATTTTTTACGCTTAGTTAGCTAATAAAATAGGAATACTATTAAATGTTAACATGATAGTGTTTTTTGTTGTCTTGTTGTAAGTTTTTGTGGTCGTAAGCGTTATGCCGATCAAGTGGTCGCGGATTCGAAGTTACTGATTTTCACCCGACCTGGAGGGTGAAAATCAGTAACTGAGGTTTTCAGCCAGGAAGTTGGCGGTGATTCATCACCGTGCCTAAGAAAGCACGTAAAACCGTTGGTCTTGCGCCTGATCTCCCTCATTCGTGTCGGATTGCTGGTTGTCGATCCTGTCTAGTCTAATCATCACCGAGGCAGGCCTTTTAACCGAAATTCAATTTGGACGACGTTATTCTTTTATAAAAATTGTATGACCGATTGACGTTTAAATTGGTTTCGTTGCTGCATGTACTATTATGGCAGCAAACATGTTACTGAAATGTTTAAATGTCCAAACTGGATGCACTGGAATGAAACAAACCAGCGTATAGTATTGCACATTAACTTCTATATTATGATTACTGATTAAAATATTTTTATATGAAGCCTGTAAAGTTAATATTAAACAATATCGGTTTATTTTACAATAGCGGAAGCTGTGGACCACAAATATCTACATCTGTTTTCGATTAAGAATTAAAATTTAGATGCGTTAAGCAAAAAGATAGAATGCCTCTATACAAGCAAAACCGGTCCCCGGTCCTCTACTATTTAACGCTGGTATGTGAAGACGTGGTGCTTCCCCAGTCGAGACGACTAATTCGTGCGGGAATCATAATAATGTAGCAGCAGCGTGGCTCCGTCACGCAAAAAGATTTGGTTTGGAAAAACATCAGAAATTATAAATAAAAAGAAAGAAATATTATAGGAAAATCAAATTCATTTGCGACGTTTCTTTTATGAAATACTTGCTTTAATAAATTTATTCATTTCATTGGTTACAAAACAGTTTCTTTAAAATACAAATCCTGAACTAAAAATAGTAAAACCCCATTACCTTTATCTTGTTGCTGGAATGAAGAACGACGAGATCCAGGCAGTGAACGGGAGAAGTCCTTTCCCAGTTGATAAACTTCAACTTCGAGTGTTTCAGATTGCGAAGAGCCTCGTCTTGAGCCCGCTACCCACGCATGGTCAGGATGTAGCAAGGATGCGCACTCGCCAATTGAGTCTACGTCATCTAGTGAATTATTTCAGTGTTTAAATTTTTTTTATTATATGTAATCTTTGCTTTAATTTTAATTTTAAATTAAATATAAATTGGTAGACTCTTAGGGATAGCGTCCCTTCTGAACGACTTGAACTATTGATGTCATCAAATACACTATAAAATAAAATAAATTATTAGACTCTACTTTAACGTATGATAGTGAAAGTTGGGTGTGGCAGAAGAAGCACGAGAGTAGAATAAACGCAGTAGAAATGCGGTCGTTAAGAAGTATGTTAGGGCTGAATCTGATATGACAGGGTGAGAAATTGTGTGATAAGAGAAGAGTGTGGTTTGCAAGATGATGTTGTGACCAGGATTAAGAAAGGAATGATTCGGTGGTTTGGTCATGTGGAAAGAATGAGTGAGGAAAGAGTGACAAAGAAAATTTATGTTGCGGAAGTGAATGGCAGAGTCGGAACGGTGAATTTTAAAGTGATAACTTCTTAGGAATCGTTGTGATTTGAAATTCGAAGAAACTAAAAGCGACACTAAAAGAGACAAACATATACAGAGAATGAGATATAAAACAACATATAGTGTTTCCTATTATCTAGGTCTCCTATTTGTGCGGTGCTTTAAATATAATTACTTACTAACTTTTAACTCTTAAAATAAAGATAATTTTTTTTAATTTTAGTTTAAAAATTGTTAGCTAAAATAGAAACATATCCATTCATAACGATCCACGATTTAGTAGCTGTCATTATATTCGGGAGATCACTGACTCTCGTAACACAGGTTTTCTAACCTAGCTCGGGAGTCAGAGGCTTAAATAATATTGTAACAAATTTTATGTCAATAAAGATTATTATTATGTCAATAAAGATATCATAACTTACCGATTTAGTTACGTTTAGTCCATTTAGCGTCTATTTTAGGCCCACCTTGAGTCAATAAATTTTTATTTGATAAAATTACTTTAACTATGAAAGTACATGGCGCTATTATAAAACAATTTTAGTTCAAAGAAAATATTTTTTTGATTTTTGAGGGAGATGAGGAATGAAAAAAAGAGAAAAAGAAGTTCTCCCATTATTGTCACTTACTAAATAAAACACAACAGCACCATGTCAATATTTTACTAAGAACTTACTCACTTTAGAATACTAGATTCTGTGAGGACGTAGTTTTTCTCCATTTGAGCCACAATGCAGCTGCAGTACATCAATTTGGTCTAAAATGTAAGTTAGTGGCCTCCTCTAGGTGTCAGTAGATACTGGAGAATAAGAATGTCTTTAATTATTTTTAAGTTACCGGAGATGGAGCGCTGCGAGGCAAAGTCTCCACGGCGGAGGGCACGCGCACCTGCTAGTGACCCACGCGGCGATGCGTTAGCCGACCGCGTGCCCCGCTCCTCTAATGTCCACCATACAGCACGATCTTCCGTAAATGCCTTCTCCAGCTCCATCTTTATTATAATTTTCTTTATCAGTATTCCATTATACAGGATATCTATCACTATAATTAAGCTATAAGCATATAGTTAAAATTAAGCATAAATAATTAATTAATTAATATATATATATATATATATAAATAAATATATATATATATATATATATATATATATATATATATATATATAATTAAGCTATAAGCCATAGCAGGTTGTGAGTATACTATGGCTAAATACATGTAATAAATTATTGAAGATATATTTCTTAGAAATAAATACCAAGAATGAAGGAGACAACTTTGTATATATTCCATTGGGTAAAACCTAAATACACATTTTATTTAAGCCTTATGCAGAATACATCCTGCGCGACATTGTAATATGGATTTTGAAACAATTGTAGCTCAAATAATGTGTTTTCCTTTATAAGAAGCTCATGGAAAGGAACTAATATTTACATATATACCCGGTATGGGAAATAACGGTTGCACAGATCAGAAAAATAGGTAGGTATACAATTTATAACTGGAAATTAGCCATAGTTACTTGACCTAGGTGTAGTTTAAAATCAAGATTCTAGTTTAAAAACTCATTTGTTTAAACTTGTATGTCCAAAACATTGATATTTGGTTTTAAAGTTATTTATATATATACTTATATACGTCTCACTGCTGGGCAAAGGCCTTCTCTTATTTCCGAAAGGGTTTATAACAATCAAGTAAATGTCCACCGCGTTGCTTCAATACCTGTTGGAGGATTTCACATGTTCTTTTTTCACAACTTCGATAGTATATTTTTTAGTAAATAACTCAGACATGTGGGAAAAGTAACCAGAGTTTTACGAAATTAATTATTTTTGCTTGTCAAATAATTTAAAAAACAATGAAATTGAAAATTAATATTTAATAGATTTGCGCAGATGACTTTGTCGAAAGTTAACACTCATATCCTTAAACGTTCTGTGAAACCTATCTGCACTCAAATTCGACTAGCCTGAGAAATTTGCTGAAAAATAATCTGATTTCGTTTTCGTAATTGGAAAGTCGAAAGCTTTTTAAAAATCTTTAATGAACGTCAAATTAATGAGGTGAAAGTGGAATATAAGTGTAAGAGAATATAAAATTACATCATGATGTAGATTATTCAATAGAATGTCATTACTGCCATAATTAGTGTTGATATTTATAGACAATTTGGTTGCGTTAATGAACGTAAAAAAATAACAAGAAAACTTATTTTTTATAAAGTTGAAAAATTTCGGCTTCAAGAATTTATAGTGAAATATGTCTAGAAACCCAACTGGGAAGCGGACACAACTTATAGACGAATTTAAATATAAATTTATTGTTGTGGAAAAGTTAGTAAACGTATAATATGTTTCTTAAAAGGTAAATTAAAATCCTATTAAAAAAAACATAAATATGCTTAACGATTTTCATTATATGTGGTAAAACTTGTATACAAAAGTAAAACTTAATATAAAAATATATAGGTGGGTGTGATATATTTAGAACTGCCGTGGAATTTGAATTGTTTCATATGCTGTATTATTTTCTACGCGCTATTTATCAGTAAACTATGTTTAAATATCAGCTTTTTCTTATGCTGTATTATTTTCTACGCGCTATTTATCAGTAAACTATGTTTAATTACCAGCTTTTTCTTATTCTGTATTATTTTCTACGCGCTGTTTATCAGTAAACTATGTTTAAATACCAGCTTTTTCTTATGCTGTATTATTTTCTACGCGCTATTTATCATTAAGCATGTTTAAATACCAGCTTTTGTCCGCGACTTCGTCTGCGTAGAACACTTGCAGTTCTACAAAGCTCAATTCAGACTACGCTATACTATTGTGCTTTGCTTCATATACAAGCAATCCAATACTATTCAGTATAGCATTCTGTGAACATGTCCCTAAAAAGGAATATTGTACTGCTATGAAGTATTTTCTATATTCTATTTATTATAGCGTACTCTGAGCTGAGTTTAATAGTAGTCTAGGGGCAAGCAGTTCAAACATCTTCTTTAAAGTCTCAAAAACTTTTTCCGATGTGACAAAATGGGCAAAAAATAGTTGAAGATCTATTATTTTCAATTAAATTAGTCGTAATTGTGTAAAACCTTATACCTTAAACCTTATACCTTAAGAAGAAATAGGAACCTATGCTACCTCAAATGACGATCAGTCTCGCTTCGGCTTTCGAACGAGAAAGCTGTGTCCCTTAAGATTGGAATACACATTACATAACAGGACAACGTAAAATTTAAATGGGAAATAACCGTAATAAAAATAAGAAGCGACTGGGTTGGCATAAAGGAACAAGCATAAATATGATAAACCTATTGAAATAAGTATCTAACGACCTATCTACTTACAGTTTTAGTGATTACAAACATATCGGTAGATAGCATACGACGCTCAGGGAAGTGGGGGCGAAGTTAGAATTTGAGCTGAGATAGTATAGGCTCTTAGCACTCAAGGTTTTAATTTATATTAGTGTTAAAGTGAAAAAAAAATTAAAATCAATTTTTTCATCAAAGCTTAAGAAAATAAAGAAAAATAATCTCTTTGATTAAAGTTGCAAACCAAAACAGATTTAGAAAGTTTCTGATATAATCATCGGAAACCATAAATTTTTATTAGTTTGTCAATCTTACAAAAAATCCGTGCATTTTTGCGATAAAATATAGCCTTAATCATTCCTGGCATTAGTCTCTATCTGTTTTTTATTATAATTTGGGTGACGAACGAGCACACAGTTCTGATGGTAAATGGATGCTGTGGCCCATAAACAACTACCTCAATCCTCGATTAAGAATAAAAATACAGATGCGTCGTCACCCCTAAGTATGGACTTATACATTATTTATTATTTCCTTAAGTATGGACTTATATATTATTTTTGTGAGATTGATAAACTAATAAAAATTTATGGTTTCCGATGATTATATCAGAAACTTTCTAAATCTGTTTTGGTTTGCAATTTTAATCAAAGAGATTATTTTTCTTTATATTCTTAAGCTTTGATGAAAAAATCGATTTTAAAATTTTTTTTCACTTTAACACTATTATACATTAAAACCTTGTGTTTAGGCCTAATTTAACGTTTGGCGGCCTGCTTCGGCGCTCGGGTCGAGCGGGAGGCGAGCCTGACGGCTGAGGCGCGGGGGTGCGGGCTGGTGCGGCGTCCGGCCGCGCCGGCGTCGGCGTTTTTGCGAACACTTGCCGCAGAGCGTGGAACTGAGTAGTTGCGCGTCGTGTTAATAGCTTAGTCGCCCGCTGCCTCTGACGCCTATACTTCGCGAACCTGAGTTGTTTGCAACGCGGCCCGGTGATATTGCATTTTTCACAAAGGTCGAGTTTGTTGTAACGCGAGTTCGGTTAAATCTTGTTGGATTTTATTGGATTAACCTAATGACAATTGACTTGACTCCAATTAACAAGTGAGAAACGAGTGTAATTTCCTAGATTCTTAAATTTTTGTGACGGACTGCCACTTCGATATAAGGAATAAAGGTGAAGCCTTGTGATCGGCGGTTCTGCAACCAGCGGGAAGTCAGGTTACATAATTTAACACAATCACAACACAACACAGTCAAGCACGCCCACACTTACACCTGAATCTTCCTAGGGTTGACCCTACTTCGAAGAAATAGGTAAGTTTTGTTTGGTTCCCTTTTTACCGCTAACGTGTAATATTCCACAAGCCATTTAGGCCGACCTCCTGTTACTCGTCGAGTGGAACCCCTGATGGGCCCGGGTCCCACGACCTTGCCCGGGTAACTAGAGGCCGTAACATTTGGTAGCAGTGCGTGGTTTTCCTGATGGGTTTTGAAACCACTCCCAGCTCAATACGTAACATTTTGGTAGGAGTAGCGTAGTCTCCCAGCGCAATACGTAAGTTGGTAGCAAGATAGCGGTTGTAACCACGTGGCTGCTGGTTGTGTTTGTTGCAATACGTAATAATAATTTGTTTTATTCGCTTGTTATTTGTTAGCATAGGATCGGTGTATAGAACCGTGTAGTAACCGTATTTTTTGAGTTTTTTATTTACTTTATCTGGTCGCTTACTTTGTTAAGTGTTAGAATTGAGCCACGCCCGTAAGCCGTGGTGGTAAGGAATTATTGTACTCTCGTTATAAGAATCGTGAGGACGAACCGTAATTGTACTAATTAAATTAATTGCGTAGTATAATTTACTGATTGGATAAATAGTATTTTGTATTGTATTATTTTTATTGTGATAATTAAACTAATTAAATTAAAGTAATTTGTACGGTGATAATCGTACCTTGTAATGATGCCTTCACACCGGTCACCGACGCTTCGCTTACAAGCGGAACTGCGCTGGGCTGCGAATGCTCACAGCTTGATAGGGAGACCAGATAGAATCCATAGCTTGGAGAAGCGGCTCGAGCAAGTCATGGCCCGAAGGGCCGTAGTGGAGGAGGCATGCTCCGAGATTATGGCTTCGGGAGCGGAACAGGGAGTCCTAGACTCCTGTCTTTCCGACTATGAGCAATTTTTTGCTCTCACGGATGACCTGATTGAGGCAGGGGCCAAGCAGGCTAGTGACGCGCGTGAAGCTCGGCTGGGTGTCCTGCTCGAGTCCCCTCGGAAGCAGCCCACTCACCCGGAGCTGTTGGGACGACTTCCCACTCTGGACCTGCCAAGGTTCTCCGGGGTCCTCTCCGAGTGGTTAACGTTTGTGGGACTTTTTGACAGCCTAGTGGATGCCCGGAGGGGATTTAACACCAAGCCAGAAGATGGCGTATCTCCTGGCCTCATTAGAGGGGGGAGGCCTTGGGCGTTGTCGGCCATTTGAAGGTGTCGGACGACGCCTACCTGAACGCTCGGGACCTCCTTGCCGGAAGGTATGCCAACGTACGGCGAATTGCGGACGAGCACGTCAAACTCCTGTTGAACCTCCCGCTGCTAAAGGACCGGGCCCGACTACGACCGGACATCGTAAATCCGGTCTTGGTGGCCTGCAACTCGTTGAGACGGC